CATGTGTGGGATCGACCCAGAGAGCCGATCTTGTGAGGGATCGACCCAGCAAGTCGATCAAGTGAGGGATCGACCCAGCAAGTCGATCATGTGAGCGATCGACCCAGCAAGTCGATCATGTGGAAATCAATCCAGCAAGTCGATCAAGTGGGCGATCGACCCAGCAAGTCGATCACGTGGGGGATCGACCCAGAGAGTCGATCTTATGAGGGATCGGCCCAGCAAGTCGATCAAGTGAGGATTCGACCCAGCAAGTCGATCAAGTGGGGATGGACCCAGCAAGTCGATACTGCTTGCTCGAGCGCAAGGGAGAAGGGCATACTCCGCGTTTGGCACCAGGATTGCTGCGTCATGCGGTAATAATTGTAGAGTCCCATGGTTTGGTCTTTCTACAATCTTGATATTTTAACTTTGTACTTTTGATCTCGTAAAGTAATGGATGAACATTACGCTTACATATTTCATAAATAATTATTACAGTTTTTCATTTTCGATCTATACAGGCTAAATAACACACACCACACTTCTCTCACAAACTCACATTTGAGATTTTTCGTAGAGAAACAATATAATTCTCTACTATTTTTAGTTTCAATTATAATTGGAATTATTATATAATGAACATGGTCTTACACAAACAACGGTTGGAAGCCGGGCAAGTGCAGGTGTTGCGGTTCAAGTGCCCGAAGTGGCGGGCGATGTCTGGGTGGAGCTCTGGAATCTCAGGCACTGTCACGTGATACTTAGCCGATATATACGTTAGCGGCGAAAATTCTGCTTGGCGGATTCGCTAACGAATGAAATCTTCGTGCTGATTCGCTCCTTTTGTCTCACCCATGGCGTGTTGTGCTCGCAAGCCTCGACTAATTGCGAGTTGTCTCTCTCGCCATAGGAATACAGGCCAGAAGGGATCGCGAATAAGATGAAAAATTTAATTGTTCAAGCAATCAATGGTTCAAAATACTATCTTTCTGACTTCAGGGAGGGAAGGGGGAATGACTCGATACATGGGATACGGACTACGCATCTCTAAGCAAGCGTTTATGTGTAGAACGCGAGTAGAAGACACAGAGGCAGATCGTTATAGAAATGAAATTGGTAGACAGCCAGAAACCGGTTCATGACCCATTCTTGGAGTAGAGGAGAAGATGATGCATAAGGGTGTCAACCTCTGTTATTATTATGTTTTGTTGTGATAATATACGGAGCAATAAATGCGTCTCGCAAGGCCAGTACGCATAAAGCTGAAAAAGGATACTGTTTATTTTTTTTTAATTGCCTGTATTATTTGCAGAGCTAAAAAAAAATTACAATCTTACACGTAAGCAACGCTTTAAAACCCGCCGGTGCCCTGGCCGTTTTGGCCACGCGCTGACCGAGGCCCACAAAATACGGGGGGTGGGTGACGCAACGGGCGCAGAAGAGGGAAGTTGCCCCCTGCGCCCCATGAGGCGAGGTCGTTTTCGTAAATTTCACTTTTACGACGCTTCCTAA